GTGTCTATCTGATTAGGATCCAATCACCCAATCCTCGCTGGCTTCCTAAACAAAGTGAAAGTATTATAAAACACGGCTAAAATGTCAACGTTATTACATTCTAACCACTAGACCGATGGAGGTTAATTTCGTAAATTAACACATGGTTAGTGACATCCTAAATGCTGCTGCTTTGTCCCTTGGGAGATTTGAGAGGCCACCCCCACTCGCGTGGTGCCCTTTTTTAAATCAATAAAATAAAATACACGATAATGTGTGTGCTTACATGTTTTAATTATCTTTGTTTGGTCAAGTTCCCAAATTTAATAATGACTTCTTCTTTAACTAATCATAAAATTTACTATTTCTAATATGTACATGCATGTTTGCATTCCCTATGATGTTTGTTCCATTTTATGTCTTTTTTCTAAGACTTTCTAGAAACACGAAGATAAGTCTAATGATCTAATCCTTCATATCAAAGCAAGAAGATTGAATCAAATCATCTAATCTAATATGGATATAGTCGTAGAGATCGTGTGTGGAAGTTTGGTTTTTGACAATTATTTTATCTTTTTTTGGTAAAAGACAATTATTTTATCTTTGTCTTGCCAACGTATACGGTTAATTATTATTAATCTATAGAACGTTATTTGCACTTTCAAGAGGTTATATTAGATTACTCTATGTCTGTCTACTCTATAAAACGACTTGTCAACAATTCTTATTTCTTGTTTAGCAAAAAAAAAAAAAAACAATTCTTATTTCTATACTAGAAAAATGCAAATCTTCCATATAGGTTGTAAAAGAATAGTATAATTAGAGTTAATAAAGTCATCTGAAAAGTTTTTTTATGATAAGTTCTACTGAACTTTTACCAATCAAGTGAAAAAGAAAAATATTAGAGAATACAAAATTTCTCTCATTTACGCTGGAAATAAAATAAATTTGTCCAATAATTAAGATGAGAAGTATACCATTTAACGCTAATTTTTCTCTTTCATTCTGTTACTATGTACTTTCTTTTACTCTATATTATTTTCTGTCATTTTAATCTCAATGCCACGAATCAATTAGGATGTATATTGATATATTTTATTAAAACATATAAACTATAAACATAAAATAATTATTTTCAAAAAAAACTATGACAGAAAATTATTTATTTTTTCTTCTATCATGGTCGAATTTACTAGTAGAATAGGTATTCTGCGAATTTGTATCATTCTACGAGTTGTAAAAATAAGTATTCTACTAATTGCACAAGTTCTACATATCGCAGATTACACATTCCACCATTTTGTTTCAGTATTACCAGTCGCAGAATGGTATTTCTACCAATGTCTTTGTCGTCTACGCCACGCATAATGCATATTCACCCCTTATTCGGTATTTACTTTCCAAAAAACATAGATTTTTCCGGAAAAAATATATTTGATTTTTTTTTGTCGAATGATTTTGCAGTGTTCTTTTGGAAAAAACACATTTTAAAACACATTTTCATTTTTTTTAAATTTAATGGAAAACTTATATGAATATA